GTGGATCAGCTTAAGGCTCGGTCACGCACAAAGAGGTGGATAAAGCACGTTTACTTGCTGTAGTATTATAGTGTTACAAAAAGATGCGCAGTCTACTCCGACTTTGGAACGGTGTGAACCTCCCAGTCAGCGCCGTCCGGGCCCTGGACTTTACCATGTGGTTTATCGTGTGTGAAAGGCCCTCCAGCGTTCGTGACACCACTCTCCAAAACCCCCTTCTTCTCGCCTGTCCGCAGGTATTCTAAGAAGGCGACCGAAGCGTCGATGTACTCCTTGAGAGCAACCTTGCTACTTAGCGTCGTACCGGTGACCATGTTCATGATCCAAGGAACGATAAGAGGCGCATCGGTACAAGACGGGTGAGCGGTACCCAACAAAGTCATGAACCACCCCTCCTTAACGTTATCGATGATATTCTTCACGGCTTCAAAGTGCCATCCTTCGTCGTAGAAAGCCGTCTGCTTTTCTGTCCATTCTCCGCTCTGCATGACCAGTATCGGTACGTCGATGTCCTTGTTCAGGGGTCCAGATCCCTTGCCGGGGTCTAAGGCAATACCACCATTGATAGGCATTGCCTTTGAGCCAGCAGATTTCAGTGCTTGCATAGCCCCCGTCGCGCCGTATGAGTGACCTCCGACTGTGACTGCTGACAGGTTGAGGCGGTTCTTGAAACCAGGCAAAGCATTCCGCGGTGAATCGGGCTTGAGGTTCACGACCGGTGCGTCACCTGCATTGAGTTGCGCAAAGAGTTTGATGGTTTCGCTGATCTCAGCTTCACGGAAGTTGAGCTGTGCGGCCTTGAGGTCGAGGTCGGTCATCGGCGGATCGGCTTCTAGGTCCTTGAGCTTCATGTGCCAGACTTTTCGCTCCGTACCATCAGGATGGTGGACGATGGTACCGGGTCCGCTACCGTCACGGTGTTCGATGGCAGCGACTACGTAGCCGTGGCTTGCAATGCTTCCCAGGTAGTGTGCATAACTCTGGCTCATTCCTGCCATGCCATGCGTAAAGACAACGCAGGGCAAACTTCCAAGACCGTCGCCTCGTTTTAACTCTTTATGTTCTTGCTCTGCTGCGCTCATGATCTTTCCAAATTCGCCTGCACCACTACCATCTTCGCCCAAAATTTGCTCAGCACTGGAAAGGATTGGTGCATCAACGACACCTGGAATGACTGTGCTTGAACCAAGGAGCCAGAGACCGAAGGTGAAGACCGAAGATAATTTCGACACTCCGGCAAGACGAGCATAGCCTTCGCCAATAAGCGAGACAGGCTGAGGAAGCCACGGTCGTGCCCATGGTCGCTGGCTGGGCGGCGCCAGAGGCAGAGAGGATGGGTAGTATAAGGTGATGGCCAACGTGTCCAGTTGAAAAGCCTTCTCTCCAGTCGCCTTCAGTATCGCATCATGGATGGTTCTCTTTTGGACCTCTGTCTCAACATCCAGTATGCCAACCTCATGGGGTCCGGTATAAGGCGGGAGCGGCGAGGTGATTGGGGTCAAGCTAAAGAACAAAAACCAGAAAAGTACGCCCGCAGATGTGATGAACAAAAGACGCCGCGGTGTGAGGCGTGAAGGCCTGGGTACAAAGCGGGCAGGCCCGGGTACAAAGCGGCCCATCCGGAAGGCCATGATGCGCGGCTTGTATTGCAGTCTACCAAGGAACTTGAGAGGGCGTGCAAGGTCTAATGAAGGGCGCAAACTGTGACCAGAAGCGATATTTGGGGTTCCAGATATATCAAGTAGTAGGTGCGGTCCACATGGCAATTGTGGCGTATGAAAGCAGAGTGTCGCGTCGCGAAAGTGTTGGCCACTGATGACGTATGCGACATCGGAGATAAGACCGCCCAGATGCAGCACTCAACTAGTTGACACTTAGATCTTTCTGACACTCACGACACACGTCTTTGAGAAGCTGAACGACATCCCGCCGGCTACCTTACTAAGTGTTCCGCTATCTTTGAATACGACCTATCGATCCTAATCTGTCGAAAGTGGGGTCGATTGTTGATGACAAGAGCCGATGTCTCCGTAAGGTTTGCAGTGCGACACGTCCATTTCTTCCAGGATTGCGTCAAACCCTTAACTTATTAGGTGGAAAGGAATTTCGATAAGAGTGAGTTGCGCAGAGACGGGTCTACTAGCGAGGATGAAGATACGAGCCTGACTTGAATAACGCAAAGAAAGCACGACTGCAAGCTCGTAATGCGGTCTAGTATTCGAGCAGACATTACAACGGAGTCCCCATCAATGTTATAATCCTGGAAGGCTGTCATGAAGGGTTGGCGTACAGATGTGGCCGGTGCGACATGCTGTGTTGGCAGGTCATTGAGTATCAATCGCAGCGACTCCACCACCATACTGCGGCACAGCTGCGCGGCCTCAATGTTTGGATCCTCATTGTTGGTTTCCAGCAGCTTCCATCCCATGTAAAATCAGTCAGCACTCATTGCTTAATCGTTACAAACTAATGTATAACCATCGCACAGAAGCTGCTTCAAGCTGGACCGATATCCAAATCGACACTAAGGCCAGCTGGAAGTTAGAGAGACATACAGAAGTTGTTGGAACTGGCGCGATCGTCATGGTTGCCCTGGGTCAAGACAACTCATCAGATGCAATGCAAGTCAAGGTACTTACTCTGCTGGAGATGGACTCTGAGAATGCAGCAGCTGTCGATCAAAAGAGTAACCGGCGAAGTCCTTACACCTCGCATAGGCTGAATGAATGCCTCAGGAAGCCTCACGAACGTTCCACCGCACATGAAACAACATCTCGAACGATATTCAGGCTAGTCGTTCCGTCTCTTTGTGGACGATCACCGCGCTTTTACCCTCGATTCGTCACAATGTCATCCTGAAGTCGCTTACACGTGCATATGCATGCGCACGCTTACTGATGCCTGCGGAGCACATAAAACACAGGTCCCATGTAAGAGCACAACCGACTTCGCTTCGAGCACGTTCAGCGGCACGGGTAATTCCAAACGACCTCTCTATTACCCGAGCCACACACTCTCTACGCCTTGGCCCATAGCAGGACCTATAACGAACGTCCCGCTCCGTGTGTATGCCCTGGTAGTTGACTTGCATGTGGCCGGGGTCTCTGAAGACCTTTACCCGGACGATCGTCTTCGGTTCGGTATCGCTATGGACTTGCGCGCATTTCATTCCGGGGTTCGGATGGAGGACGATGTGGTTCCTGCATTTGCAATCTGTTGGTATTAGGCGCGGTTGGTTGCGCATGGAGCGGCAGTATAGGTAGAGGACCTGATCGAGTCTATGCTCCGGTGAGCAGAAGTTCGTCAGTACTGACCTTCAAAATGGATGCTTTGGTGGAGCTGCCATGTGGATAGAGTGGATCGTTCCCGGACTGCTTCCTATTTCAGTATCCTTACTATTACCACCCCAACATTAAGGACATGGTATTTGTCAGATCAGTATGTGCGCTTTGCTGCTCGCCTCCCCAGTTTCTGCGATACGCGGGTGCATAGGCGAACAGAGTGCAGGGTAAAAACCCTTGACGCCGCGGTCATCGTAACCATTTTTAAAATGCTTTCCTAAACGGTCGTGTGTCCGCGGTGGACTGACTATCTGATCGATCTGATGGCTTCCAAAACCGTCAAAGGTCCTTAGAGGGCTAGACGCCGGTGACCCACCAACAGCTAAGTCACCTCCGATACCAACACAAAAATCTCCACTGCATGTGTCTGTCGTTAGTCATTCGGTACCACGACACCGGTACCACGACACCGGTCTCTTTGGGCGACTTCATTGCGAAAAGTCCGTCTCGAGGCATCGGCCCCGTAACCAATTGAGACGGGAAACCCACTTGTTTACATCCCCTTCAGGACGACGCGCTGCGTCTCGCCACATGCGCCTATACGCTGCAGCCGCCAACATTAATTGCGGCGTTGCGTCAATCTGCACCATTTCGTAGCCAAATGAGTTTCTGGGTAACACGGCATAGATGGAAAGCACGCGACAAAAGGCTGGAGAACGGGTCCCGTTGCGCAGTTCACGTTAGACCAGTTCAAACCCATGCTCTACCAGGGGAACAGGTGTTGAACTATCCGGACTACATTGCACGTCTTCTCGCGGCTATGCGAAAATCTCATGTTGCTCATTCAGGCTTGCGCGCGTTCATATTGATGACGTGACGTCGCGTCGCGCTCAAGTGACGGTATTGCTTTCAAGGTTTTCCCTGAGTTCCCGTCCAACCTGCATGTACTACGCCAATGGCGCGGGCGGACAAGCTCATGCAGGGCGGGCCTGCGAATCCGATGGAGAGCTGCGGCGCGGATCGTAAGGGTCGGATCTGTGGATCGTCGAAACGGTGGCGACGAAATCACAGGGAGTTGTGTATGTCAGGGTGACGCACCATATACCTACGTGGTCCAGCGCAGCTGAGTATGGGCGAGCGATAGGCAGAAGCGTTGAAGATCACAAATGTAGAAACACGGAGATTTTGAATTGATTTGTATTGAACGCTCGCAAGCATCTTTCAAAAGGAGAGCAAGATCGACTGTGACAACTGTCGAGTGTAATGATTCCAATAACAGCTAGTAATTACTTCTCGCGCTCTTCGCGAAAGCTTCTCCTCCTCTGTAACATAGGAGATAATTTGTGCGCAGATATGGCAGGATAGGTCTAGGTAAAGAGACAAAGGTACGCCGAAAAATGCATGCAAGCGAGCTGGTGAAAAGCTGACGCAAAAGGGACCCGAAATGCGCGAGACTAAAAAGAGACCTTCCGACTTTTAGTCTTCCGTCAATGATGGGACTGCCTAGTAGATATGTAAGATGGGAGAAAACATGACTCGTCAATATGTACATCGAATGCAATTGTGTGTCGTTGATAGCGTGACATGAAGCATAGCCAGCCATGCTTCATGAGCCTCCTGGGCTTCGATTCAGGGACGCGGGGTGGATGGAGTTATTACTGTGTGCGTCGTGGGTAAGGTCGCTGATGATCGTGGCTTGATTGACATCTGCGAAGTATTTTATATGTTGCGTGGGGGTGTTGGGAAGAGAGACAACATAGGGGCGCGAGACTGCGCGGTGGTCGCTGCGCGGTTACGTAGCTTGGTTGGTTGATCCTCCTTCGGAGCAGAGACGGAAAGGAACTTGGCGGCACCTTCAGACAGGGCGGGTTTGTGCTGGCGCGCTGGTGCACGGGTGGAACGCTGCGACCCTTGGCGCGCAAGGTCGAGCGACGACTTGAGCTCCTCTTCGACAGTAGAGTGATTGGCACGCTGTGAGCCACGTCGAGCCAAATCAAGCGAGGCTCTGAGCTCGGTCTCAATGGAGCTGCGAGATTGCTCCTCATCTTGAGGCGCTTCGTCGTCTGAAGCGAAGAATGTTCGCCCTTCCAGGGTACGCCCTGGTGGCGTAATGTCATCGTCCTCCTTGTCTTCGTTAAGGAACGCAATCTGCTCTGAAAACTGATCAGCTGCAAGACTGAAGCCAAGCGACTTGCGGCTACGACGGGACGGAATCAGCTCTGGGACACTGCCGGCAGAGCTTGCCGAGCGCCTCACAGGGGAGCTCCAAAGACCGCAGCTCTGAGAAGAGGACATGAGGCTGCTGTCATAAGAGCTTCGCCTACTTAGTCGGACGTGACTGCTACGCGCCGAGCTCGTCGTGCTTCGACCGGCGTCGAGCATTGGAAAGTGCCGGTCGGACGCGGCGTACTCGTCAAGCAAGTCCTCATATGTGACTTCTCGTGTATCCTTGTATTCCTGCGGGACAAGAAGGGACGGGCTTAGCATGAAGCCAGTGTCGCCGCTGAAACGGTTGGCATGGAAGAATCCTGAGGGTGTCGGTGGCAGGCCAGTGCTGAGGGTGGATGTGGATATCGCAGAAGTCGGAACCAGTTCTGGCACACTCGATGTGCTGGGAACCAGCAAAGATGAGCGGAAATTGTCAGAGGCGAACCGCTCTCGATCAGCGGAAGTGATTCTGGAGTTGCGACGATTGGCTTGCTCAGCAGAAGGAGTGTCGCAACAGCGAACACCGTCATCAGATACTCGATCCCATTCGAAGTCACAGTCAGCTTCTAGAGCGTTGTCGTAGATATAGTCGACATCTTCCTCCCATGACTCCTCTATTGCGCGCCATGTGTTTGACTGGCGACGCTGATAAGGTTTCCGAATAGACATCCTCCTCGGCATGCCAAATGAGCCCAGCGTGTCAGACATTTGCGACGAGGGTCGTGAAGCTGAAGGCTCTGCCCTTGGTGAAGCAGGAGACTGACCTCTACCCTGTGATCTAGAGGTAACGGGAGATCGCGGATTTTGAAAGGAAAACGATCCAAAGTAAGGCGATCTTGGCGAAGTCGGGGACTTCATTGGGGGCTGTGGTGCAGGTCTTGGGCTGACGAATCTTTCTGGTTCCTCGACAACATCTGCGAGACTAGGACTAAAGGATGGCGGTGTGGTTGCGTGAATGGCTGAATCATCAGGCGTCGTGACTGCATGGCCAAAGTACGAATCTTCTGATATCTCAGGTAGTATGTCCGGGGTGGACACAGCAGAAAGAGCAAATGAGTCCCAGATACCCGACTCTCGCTTCGACCGCGACAACCTACGCGGACCAGAAGCAGGCTCTTCGTACGCGAACTCAGGTGTACCGAAGGCGGGTCCCAAGGGAAGATGAGGCGACTGTATCGACGATGTGTGCGTATGTTTCCGAGGGCTAGGTTGGGAGAAGCTCTCTATAGATCGGGCTAGGCGAAGGGGTCGTCGCGATATTGGGAAGTGGGGGACAGTTTCGGAATCGTGACGAGGTTCTGGGCTGCGAGGGGGATATGTGAAGCCTAGAGCAGACGTGGATCTCTCTTCTCCATTTGCCAGGTTTTCAGAAGAGAAGTTCCTGAAATGGACGTCATCGGATGGTGTGACGGGCAACTGCTGTTCGAGAGCAGCTATTTGATGTCGGTCGGTGTGAGAAAGGTGCTGAAAGTCGAATGGGCTCGAGATACGGCTAATCAGACTCGTACCTATTGTCACGATAAGCAGAGGGCCTTGGATCAGGGAAGAGAATCACTTACTAGCATCCTCGCTTCTTTTGCCCTTCCGTAAGATTGATGATCGTCTTTCGCTGACGTCCCCTTCGAACTCATCGACGTTTATCATGGGCGTCTCGCTCAGCCTCTTGCCCTTCTTCCCGCGGAACAACGACCTCCTAGACCCGGTAGACTCTTTATGACTCTTGTTGCTGGTGTGTCGATGTCCAGGTGGTGAGCCATGCCAAGAAGCTTCATGATCAGCCATCTCGGAATGGCTGAGGGACAACAGCGAAGGGGTCATAGATGTCGCAGTATTGCTTCTAGACCGTAGATTGAACACGGAACTTCGTCTGGCCGGATGGGCTCTGTGTTGCTCGGGCGAATGCATGCCAGGATGAGTTGAATGTGTGGAGTACTGCTCTGACCAAAAGTCTGAACTTGCGGTAGGAATGGTAGGCCCAATGGCCTGAGAGTCGACGGATGACTGTCGAGACCGGGAGGCATCGGTTTTATGGAACGAAAACATGGCTTAGGAGCCTGAACGAACCCCAGGAAAGTAAAGCCTAACGCAAGCAACGCGAACCGAGCAATGCTAGTATGGCGTGTGCAGGTCCCCACAAGTGGCCGGCAGATGTAGTTATGGCAACAACCATTGAAGTTGATGAGATGATCTGGGGAAACCTGTCGCGCGCACGCGAGCTCGGATGTTGTGAGTTCAGATGCCCGGGTTATACGCCTGCTGGAGGCGTTAGTGATGTATGCGAACGACTTGCCATTGGTACACAAGACCTGAGTTGGAGGGATCGAGGTTGGACGAGGCGAGATGATTGAACTTGGGCCAAGGCTAGGATCCAGGCGTGCCAAATGAGGGTAGAGGTATAGTTGAGATGCAATAGCAACCAAAGTAATATATGCGTACCTGGTCAAGTAGACAACTTATTTGCAGGGGAGGAGAGAACGTAAGAGCCTGAACACGGACCACTGCAGGGCAACGGCTGATGAAGGGGTTCTGCCCTCCGTGTGGGAATAACACGAGGATGCGGTCAGGGAGTTAGGGTCGAGTAAAGGTTGGCGAACTGCACAGACCGAAGTGAGACAAGCGGTGGTTGCGAATGAGAGGGAGTGGTGGACGGTCCAGGTAGCCGAGCAAAGATTCGAGTAAGGATTGTAGTTGCTGGAGAGCAATCATTGGCATATGCCGCAGTATTGCATGCCGTGACACGGGAACAAGAAGCTTTGTGGCCGGCAAAGTAACAGCAAATGTAGGGATGATCTCACTATGTAGGAACATGGCCGGCTTGGACGAGCAGCGGAGAGTATGTGGAGAAGATGGAAGGTGCTCAGTGTGCTCCACCAGGTTAGTGACATCCAGGACGAGCCAGGACAGGGCTCGCTGCGCGCCAGCAGGAGAGAAAGACATGGGTATCTGCCGCTGAGCGACGGCGCCTGAGCATCTGTTAGTGGCTGGGGGATGACGGAAACAGGGGTGCAGGAGACGGGGGATGCCCGACTTCACAAGGCTCGTGAGCCACTGACGATGAGCGCGCAAGTGAACGCGGCCCGACAGGTCGGCCTGCGCAATATAACGTTGCAGGGGCAGATATAGCGGGCGCTGATTGGACGTTGCAGCGAAATAAACGGTTAAATCTGCTGCATATCTGCTCTGACCACGTCCAGGCCCGCTATGCTACGAGGCCGTGAGGTCCAATTTGCTTGGAATGTCGGCCGTATGTTGTTGTGCATCCGAGAGGATTTGGCAACGCGTCGAAAGACGTGTCGTGGCTGGGAAGGTAAGCTCTCGCTGCTGTGTTCGCGGACAACGAAGCTTTCGTAGCACAGCACGCGTAAAATTGTGCTGACAATACGAGCGGGTATCCTCAGTCGGGGAGGGTATGATTTTGGCAGCTACGTACAGCATTTGTGCTGTTAGTGCCGAATATGCCGGTTCGCGATTTCAGGCGGGCACGGCGCAAATGCGTGCAGGGTTAGGCCTGGTGCTGGGGGCACATGGGTATGCATAAGGCCTAAGCATCAACATGTCTGCCACTTTGGACTGGAGCTGTGGCTAAGCTTGTCGACAAGAAGCGCAACTCTAAGTATTGACGCATGTCGTCGTCGTGTACTGGCGCGGAACAATCAAACTGTCAGAAAGGGATCGCGATAAGCGTCCGAGCAGAAGACGAGAGGCTAGAGCATCGTCCCATCTGCAGATCTTCGCTCGTGAGACGGCGGAACCTGAAACAACCGAAGAGAGCCCCTACCATGGCCGACGATGTGTCCAAGGACTCGATACCCCGCCTCACTCAGACGTCTCAATCTACACAGGGCTCGTGGGCGGATCGATCTGAAATCGCGAACAGCCCTCGTCGAGGTCAAAGTCCATGTGGTGATGTCTCGGGCCCGGTAAGTTCCAAACATGTTTCAGAGCCCCACGACAGCGATGGCCGGGTGCTGGCTATCGTGAGTTGTGAGACCCCTCTGATGTGCCTTCCTGGCTGTCCCCAAGAGACTCAGCATGCAAAGAGCGCCACCTTGGCGCAGTCGCACCGCCAGCGTAGCATAGCCTTGAGCTTGCGACGGTTCTGGGTACGGCGGTGTTGTAACACGGTCCTTCTGCTCGTATCATGCTGTGATGCAGTCGCGTACAACAGCAGTAAGGGCTGTAGGCCCTCGCATCAGCCGCTGTACCACGGCTCCATCCAAGATTTCCACAAACATGTGTGACGAGCGCCTATCTCTACGCTTTCTTCTTCTTGGGAAATGCGCCTGTAATGAGATCCAATACTTGAGGCGTGAGCCGTGTGGGGGTGGTGGGCCGTCAGCTACTACACCAGCTGCATGGACGCAATGTGAGCACACCGACTGATGTCAAAATGTCCGATGATGGTGTTACCGTCGTTGAGGTTCTTGTGCAGATGCATGAGGGTAGCCGGTCGTCGGCCTGTGATTTCCCCGAGGCTGGAGGTGAAAGCGTGCTCACGTGTGTTGTTGTGCCAAGGCTGCCTACCTGAGTAGGCCCATGGACTGGAAAGAACGCCCGCAGGTCCTCGGGAACATCCTCCACCATCACCACAGCTGTGCACACGACTGTGCACGCCAACTCCCACCGACGCCGGAGCTGAACACGTCTCTAGTCTCGATAGTCCCAGTGGTTCCTGGCCGCTGCGTGGTTCCCCTTGTTCCTGCAGTGGTCGCTGGCGGCTGGCCACAGATCGGCGAGAACTGCTCGGTACCTCCACCTTGCTGCTGCTCCCACGCACCGGCGGCCCACGTCTTACGCACCACACCTCTGCGCTCCAACGAGCTGCTCCTATCAGTCGCCTCCCCGTTGTGTAGATGACGTTGGCTGCATAACAACTGCGCTACTCCTCACGAGAACCCCTCTAGCGGGCTCCTATGTGCTAGGCTCGGCGCCCGAACCTCCGGACACAATCTTCACCGGTGTATCCACACGCCCAGGTGGCTATCCATGCGCCGTAGTCCGCTTTCATGGAGACCGTTTGCACACAGGAATTACCTCATCGAGTCCAATTATAGGTGTTCGTCTTCGCTCCACTTTCTATTCGTTTCGAGGCATTGGGCAGTGAATTCGAGCTTCTCCAGGAACATGCTGGCACTGCCAAAGATCAATGACGGTACAACTCGTACCTCTTCTGCGACGTGTTCAGGTTTGCATCTTCCGGACGTCTGTCCATGCTAGAACCTTGTTTCCTGTACCTGCAGGTCGCAATTCCTGCCGTCTAACCCTTTTCGTCCCACCGGCAGACTTTAGCTGAGCCCCACCTAGTTGTCTTCCCCAATTCAACTTTAACTAGGGCAATTTGCAAGCTGAAGAACATCTGCTACAAAGCCGAATGCGGGTTCAACAAAGCCGATGCACACAGCAACTCGGAAGCCCTCCGGATCCGCCCTCGCTAGGCTTTATACTTTGGTTTCACCATTAAGGCGTACGGGATGCAACGGCTATTGACAGCGGTAGCCACGGTCTCGCTGTACTGAAATTCCAACAACTGTAGGAGATCGACCCGGAACCTTAGGCTTTCCCTGACGGTATCGCGTTTCATATTTGCCTGTAACGTCTGGAGCCGGTTCTTGAAAGACCTTGAAAGATGATTCAGCAACTCTTGTTTCATGTTCAATGTTTCAGGCCATCTGTACAAATGTTTTCTTTACAACTGCTGATGTGGTCTGTAGTGGATAACTCCGAACTGAGAACCATCCCACCAATGGAGTGAGTGTGGCGTCCTCGCTTGCCCACCTTGGCAACTGGCGGACATACTATCCCTCCATCCCGGTGGTTCGAGGCGGGCAAACGCAGCCACAGTCGTACCCGTCTCAACAAGAGACGCTCTCGCCTTTTCATGCAACGGGACACTGGCGGATCTATCGAACTTTATCTCACATTTTGTGGAGATAGCAGCGGATGCAAAAGTACGAGCACCTGTCCCATCAGCCTGATAGGTCAACCGGCGAGTACTCCAAAACGCGGTCAAGCTCCGGTCGGGACGTAATATTCGCTTAACTCTAAGAAAGTCCTTGCAGGTAGAACTACCTAGGTACCTGGTTGTCGGTTAAAGAGCAACTCCCACATCTGGTAAGCGACCACTGTTTAGGTACAGCAGTCTATCGATAATCCTCACTTTAGCCTCTCTA